CCCCTAATATTAAAACCAAACCGCCGAAATCCAGTTTTAATATTAGAGGGGGGGGGGCCTTTAATAATAGGGGGAAGGGATTAGAGATCTTCATCGTGTCGCACCAAGTCGAGGAGTCTCTCTTTCTCTCTCTCTCTCTCTCTCTCTATATATATATATATATATATATATGTATGTATGTACATGTATACATATATGCGTGTACATCTACAAAAAGCTTATGTTTATATAGATTATAGTATCGGGTTTTTGTTCGGAAGTTCTTCAATACGCCGATCAACATGCCGGGCTTAGTGCCTTGAGTCCAGAGAGTCTACGCATGTGGGATTCCATTGGCGTTTAGAGTTTAGGGTTATAGTATGGGCTTTAGACCTGAAGGTCACATAGTAGTTCAGTTCAGCATACGTCTAAAGTCGCTGTAACTTAGGTTCCTTCTTGGACCCTATCGGATATCGGCAACCCTCGTTGGAGGCGTCAAACCAAACGGATTCTCCGTGACTGGCACACCGAATCGTACACGGCTTGAAACAGAAATCCCAGCCCTCGAAGTAAACATGTGTAGTAACCTTCCGTTCTTATTCATAAAAGCCCAAAGTTCTTAACTACCGATTTTGCATGCGGCACGATTCAAGCCCTGCTTGTGTGCGTGTGTGTGTTGGGTCATCCCTGCCCTCAGCGCCTGTGTGAACGTCCTTCTTCACACCGTTGGCACCATAGAAATAATCCTGGACAGCGAGGTGTCCAGGCTTTCCATTCCATGCCAGTGACACAGAAGTGCTTCATGTTATCTGCAGCTTGCAAAGCTCAACCCACATGGGTAGCACAAGGCAATTCACGAAGATGTGAAAAATATCTGCAGGTCCGAAGATCACGAGTCCCGTACAGCGCATCGTACAGCCGTGCCCTGAGCCCCAAGCGCCCAACAAGTTAAGAACAAGACCCCACCTGCGCCAGGAGAGACTGCGCCGTGGTGTCCCCCCGTGCTGCAGCATCGGTGAGCCCCTGTGCAGTTTCTTATTTTACTCCGATTCGGGTGCAGGGGCAGGGGCTGACCTGAAGGCAGGCACTAAGCATGAGCGTTTCGAGGCTGGGACCACGTAAAGTTGTTGTTGAGTTGCTGACAGCCTGAGGATTGAGTGCATGCGAGCACCCAGCCCGAAAGTGCACCGCCCAAAACATCAATCCGACAGTTGCGATTCCGGTGCCAAGCCCGATCTTGCATTTCGAACGCCTGCCCTTGTGATGTGTCTTGAGATGTGTCCATCATGCTACCGGTTGCGGTTGGAAGCGTCTGCCGTGGAAACTGTATGGGATACGATGTGGGTCTTAAGTGCACTACCACTCCGAAAGCCCGCCCCGCAGCATGTAGCGCAATCGGGTCGGGTTGACGGCAGCAGCGGACCCATGAGATGAAACGAAACATTCAAAAAGCCCACTGCTGCCCTCGGCAAGGACACAGCAGACCCATACCCGGCAGCCTGTAACTTCCTGAACGACAGCGCATCCCGAAGCTCCCAAAGCCCGGGCCTCGAATCACGAAACTTCCTCGAGACCCGGCCTTGTGAATACCCACATCTTCGTCGTTCTCCATACCTACCAGTACGGGGGTTTAGGAGTTTCTATGCTAAGGTTGGCTTCAGCGCCGGAAGTTGAGTTGAATGCCGAAACTCGTTCGTCGTTCGGCGAGGACAGAGAATGAGTGTTCGGAGTCGAAGGCAGGCTTGCATTCTTCCTTTTGGGTGCACAGAATTCAAGCTCAGGGTTGATGAACTGACACTTCAGGTGCTACTACGGCTAGGAGTTCTCGAGGCTTCATTCTGTGGCTCGGGTCATCTGCAATGCCCCGATGGATCTCGAGGCACTTCTGCTGGCAAGCTTCGAAACGAATCCAAGCTAGCTAGATCGTGGCTATTGCCTGTTGACCAACTGTGTCCTGATCTGCAGATTTCAACCGAAGTCGCCCCCTCTAAACAAGTCTCTTGCAGGCTTGGTTGCGCCATGAAGTGGTATCCTCGGAACCTCGGCTTGTGGCTTCGTCCAAAGGTTCGGAGTCTTCAAGGGTGTCTGGCTCAGGATCCCTGGTGGGGGGCTTCGGCTTGTTGCTCTTCCTGTACGAAACACAGTGGCAGTGTCGCCGAGCCGCCCGAGCAAGGGATCCAAAGCAGCCAGGACAGCCATAGCAGCCGCAAGGCCAGAGAAGCCCCCATGCTTGGGTGGATTTCAGTCTTGGGAGTCAGGGCGGGGCTAAGTGCTAAAGGGGGTGTGGGCGCTAGGCTCCGAAAGCTCTCCCAAACAGATCAGGGCTGAGGGTGAGGTGAGTGCGGAAAGTCGTGAGGAGCAGCAATAGGGATGCGCTGTGAGTAAAATGCTTGAGACCGCTTTGAAGTCATTCCAAGGACTCACAGGACCAGGTTGGAATATCCCTGGTCTTAGATTGCAATCTTCGGGTTCACAGGCAGGTGCAGTTTAGTTTCCGCTTGGTTCATGGTCAACTCATTCTGGCGGCTGGCTGCCGCTGCTGAAGCTTCAATGGCGACGCGCACACGCACAGACAAGGGCCGAAGGCTTGGTGACGGGGGTTTCAGTGAGTCCTTACTGCGGCTGTTCTGACTGAGACCCTAAGACCCCAGCGAACCTGCTGCGTTGAAGGGGGGAGGGACACCGAATATATAGTTGGTGATAGCCACTGAGAT